CACTCGCCATCTTTCTTCAAGACCAGGAGCACCGGTGAAGAAAATGGACTGCGGCTGACTTGGATGATGCCTTGTCGTAACATTTCCGCCACCTGAGCTTCGATTTCATCCTTCTGGGCTGGATTGTACCGGTAAGGACGACGTTTCACTGGTTGAGCCCCTGGGATCAGTTCGATTGCATGATCAAACTCACGTTGGGGTGGCAGACCCTTGGGTTCCTCAAACGGGGTGGCAAATTCCTTCAGTAACCCATCCACTTCCACTGGGATTGGGTCTTGTTTCACATCCGGCTTACTTGCTGCCAAGAGCAACACATGTGCTAGCTCGGTACGTGCCTGCATCAGTTGTAGTTGAGCTACAGAAATAGCATGGCAGTGGGATATCTCTGGCATGTTCCCTGTCAACTGAATATACTCTCCCTTGTGTTTGAATGTCATTTGTTTCTCCCCCCAATTAATAGTTATAAGGCCTCGCGACTCGAGCCAATCCATGCCCAAAACCACATCATAACTGCCCAGTGGGAAAAGCTTCAGCGTTGATCGGAAATGATGGCCCTGGATGACATATTCACAGACGGGTATCTCCTTATTACAGATGGTAACAGCTCCATCAGCCACCTTGACGTTCAAGGGTGTCCGCATAGCCTCCACCCGAGTCCACTCCTTGGCAATCTCTGTGTTTACAAAGCTGTGAGAGCTCCCCGAGTCCACCACATGAGCAGAACCTTGTTGCCAACCTCCCCAGACAAACGGAAAGCCTTGGGCACCTCGGTGCCTGAAACTGCTGTTGTGGATAGCAGGCACAGGTCATCCTCGGAGCTTCCCCTCGGAGCCACTGCAGCACTTGGGGACACCGGAGGGGATATCATCCCGACCAATTCTTCCACCACATGTAACTGCATGGTGGAAGCACACACGTGTCCTGGACCCCAGCGTTCGCCGCAGGTGAAGCACAGGCCCCGAGCTTTGCGAAAAGCCCTGAGCGCCTTGAGCTTGTCGTCTGTCGATGTGCCACCCATGCCTGATGGTGACTTGGTGATGTCGAGGCCGCGTCGCGTCTCCAAAGGGGTGGAGACCAGCATTGACCCACCTGGACGCCCCATCTGAGATGCGGTTGGTACAACCACCGCCAGCGCTGGGCGCGATGTGAGACGCCCCGCCCTGCTACTGGGTGGTCCGAGACGATGCGATCCCGCGGCTTCTTGCTCATGTCGCACCATTTCCACCACTTCTTCCTATAATGCAGCCAAGGAAACAGCAGTATCGAGGTCTTGCGGGTGATGCAACATGACAGCTACCTTAATCTCATGCGACAAGCCCTCTATGAATTGAGTAGTAAAGAACAAAGGATCCCATGAGCTGTGATGCGCAAGCAAACAATGCATAGACACATTGAACTTCTCCGCGTACTCTAAAACTGAACCCTCTTGCTTAAGTTTGGGAAAACGACGCAACAAGTGCTGAAACTCGGATCTACCAAATTTTTCTAAAACAGCAGTGCAAAAGGCCTCCCAATTATCGACCTTAAGATGCATTTTAGACCATTCAAGCCACAGCGCGGTAGCCCCTGTGAAATGCACCACCACTGTATCCACCCAAACGGCTGGATCCACTCCGCACACGCGAAAATATGCCTCACAGCGAATTCGCCATCCCATTGGGTTATCGCCATCGAACCCGGGATACTCAACATGCTTATGCTACCCTCGGTGCCCACTTCTACTGCCTAAATCAAATGGGGACGGTGGGGGAATGGGCACAGTGGGAAAGGGAGTGCGGACCGTACCGTTAACCGAGACCGGCACGCGGAGGAGAGCCCCTCGATCAGTTCCCGTGGAATCGAAGCCCTGCGGTGGCCATCGGGCCCGTAGCCGTCGCCACTGCGGTGCACCCCGAGCTCTGGCGTGTCCGCCACTGCCGAACTCGAGGGTTCAGCCATCTTGTCGAGGGACGGTGTGTGTCGCACCATCTTCTCCAATTCCGTGCGGATCTCGCCGAGATCGACACGGAACTGCCCCATCGCCGTATCCACGCCGGGACGCCATGCCGCGAGGTCGTGCACCACCGGCTCCAAGGCGACGAGCGCGGGCTCCATGTTGGAGACCACTGGCTCCATCTTTGCGACCGCGGGAGCCATCCGATCCAAGGTCTGCTGGATCGAGAGGACGGCCTTGGCGATACCACTCCTCTCCGCCGCCGCTTCCTCCAGCTGCTTCTGGACGTCCGTCCCTACCATGATCTCCTTGAGGCTGCGGTGTTTCGGCGCCAGATCGAGTCGCGGAAGAAAATTTTTGGTGGGATTGAAGGCTCTGATTACCAGATGATACGGTACTTGAGGTGGATTCGGTCGAATTGGCTCTCAATCATCGAAATATTACACGATTAGTAGCTAGGGTTCCAAGCAAGAAGGAGGGATTGGGGGAAAGAGCCAGGGGATGGGAAAGGGGGATACACGCCCAGCGGCGGCGGTCGGTCTGGTAATCCAATGATAACAAACCCTAACACTACACTGCTCTTTTATACTACTTGGTCCACTCCGAGCCCTGCACCCTTGAGTTGGGCTTGGCCTTCCTCCTGGGCCGTTCCAGCTGGGCTAGGCTTCTCCTGACAGGGCTTGCTGTTCCCGTGACAGTGAACTCTGCTCGGACTAATCTATGATGTGACCTATTGATTTTATGATCTACTAGCTTCTCCCCTGCATCAATATATGAATCATGGTTGTTGCATCCATATGTATCTCCTTTGCCAATATACTAAAATTCGAGGTCTACATGTTTTTGCCACTTCTAGCTACAAGTCAGTTTCCTGTCCTTGAAACAAGCTACAACAAGTGCAGCAGAACGGGTAGACTGAAATTTGTGGCATTCCTTTCTTGTATTGTTGCTCAGTTGACCCAGGCCATGAAACTAAACGTGGCATCCTATTCTTAACGTAATTTTCAAATTTCAATCCAAGAACAAGTAAATGATTGCATCAAACATGACTTACAGGTTACTTGCATTCTCCATTTGGATCAGTAAGCTACGGCGGCAGGCTATCGAGACAAGGACGAGCGCCTCAGTAAGCTACGGCGGCAGACTATCGAGACAAGGACGAGCGCCTTAGAGCAATCTGACCCAACCAGTCCACACAAGTATCAGATGAGATAAGGTTGAAAATATCCAGGGGTATTTTGGTCTCTTCAGGTGGCATAAAATGAGAAAATAAAAAGGAAAGCAATGGAAAAGAGAAAATGGCATGGTAATCAAAGTGTACACGGGCTGGATGGCATTTTTGCGAAGCCAATATTGAGAGTGGCAGTTTTGCGAAGCCCAATACCGAAAGTGGCAAATAGCTGATTTTCTCGTCTTCGTGAGCATCAGATAGAGAGGAGGGAGGTGGAATGGCGGCAGCGGCGACGACTGGTGAGGGAGGAGGAGGAGTGCGGCGGCACACCTAGGGTTGGCGAAGGAACGTCGTGCACGGAAGGAGACATGTACAAGCCAATTAGGCCCAATTTCACGCCAGACATCCAAAATAGTTCCCGGAGCAGCGGCCCAGCAAGAAAACGCTTGGTTTTAGCAAACGCAACGATTCCAGGCGGGATTAAGAGTAAATCTGATGGCCAAAAACGTCCTAAACTGATGATCCAAAGGCTGAAGATGTTAATAGCCTGAGAGGGCTAGAAAGGTGCCCAGTTATAATGTATGTAAATGTTGGAACATGCTGTTCAAGATAATCAGAAGATAACTGTGTAGACAAGTAACACTATACCTCTTGACATCAAGCATGATTGTCCATCTAATTTTGAAACACGCTGTTCAAGATGATCATAATATAAATGTGTAGACAAGTACTACCATAACTCTTGCAGTTGCGATCTTCGGTGATAAAAAATAGAATTCAACTCCATACTCCTTTCCGACACGCTGAAAACCTACCATTTATCTAAACCAATAGGCTAGTCTTCAATTTACAACCAATCCAAGAAAGCAGAGTGCCAACTCAGCTAAGCACCGATGCATGGCCGGAGACACGACGATGCGGGATACAACAATTTCTCAAAACATCAATACAGCAATACGGTGCATGCCTGCACAACTTTTCAACGCGTCTCTCAGGTGGTGGTAGGTACCTTTAGCTTAGAGGAAGAAGGTTCTTCTCCTCCAAGTCATCATCAACCATGTCTCCTATATGTGTATCATTACTCCCCGTATACCCTGCCACCGAGGGTGGTTCCAACCAGCACCCCCCTAGAAAAACTAGACTCTTAAAATTGTGGACAGCGTCTGTCAATCAACATCCTAAATAAATACATCAAGTTTCAACCAACAAAAATCCTAAATGGTATACTACTCCCTCCGTTCCGAATTACTTGTCGCAGGTATGGATGTATCTAGATGTATTTTAGTTCCAGATACATTCATTTCTACGACGAGTAATTTGGAACGGAGGAAGTAGGAAGCAAGACAGAGTGGAGTCTGACACCTGGACCATCATACATGGAGGGTGTACAAGATAAACCACAGACACACACAAGGGCAGAGTGAGAGTGGATTGGAGAAAGCAGAGGAGAGGAAGGCAGGGGAGCGCGGGATCTCGCTCCAACCTGCGCCACACGATGGCTCCAACCCCCAGCCCACCATATCCCACCCTCCCGCCACAACTTCTCTCCGCTGACTCACCACCACTTGCCGCCCACCGGACCGGAGCAAGGGACCGACCATGGCCACCGAGGTGGTGGCGCTCTCGCCGGCCTCCCGCCTGCCGTCCCTCTCCTCCAGGCCTAACGCTCTAGCCGCCTCCTCCTCCCGGTCCCGAGCACCTCGCGGCGCCCGTGCCCCCAGTTCACCGCTGGCGCTCACCACCTCCACGGGGCACCGGCGCAAAGCGCTCCTCCTCCTCCGGCCCCGCGCCACCGAGCAGCAAGGGCAGGTGCAGCAGCAGGACGAGGAGGTGGTGGACGGCAACGTGCTCCCCTACTGTAGCATCGACGGCAAGAAGAAGAAGACCATCGGGGAGATGGAGCAGGAGTTCCTACGAGCCCTGCAGGTACGTACAACTGATTCAACTTCTTCATGTTTCGATCGATTGCTCTGCTTCTTATCCACATGTACTCTCTTCTTGTGCAGTCCTTCTACTACGACCAGAAGGCCATCATGTCCAACGAGGAGTTCGACAACCTCAAGGAGGAGCTCATGTGGGAAGGCAGCAGCGTCGTCATGCTAAGTACGCCGCCCTGACAAACTGAATTTCCAGCTGCAGCTGCTGGTGTCTGATTCAAACCCCCGTCCATTTTCCTGCTGTTTTCAGGCGCCGATGAGCAGAGGCTGCTGGAAGCCTCCATTGCCTACATCGCCGGCAACCCCATCATGTCAGATGCGGAGTTCGACGAGCTCAAGCTTAGACTCAAGGTACCCCCAGCATCAGCATGGGCTATGATTCCATATCATTCTGGTTTCTGAATGAGATATGGAAATGCTAACAAATATTCAGTTAAACGTTCAAAACCACACACCTACTGTCACACATACTCTGCTCGTCAGGGTATTCCTCTCGCTGGACAAAATTAATATTATCATAGGACATGCTAGAGATAATGCAGTTAAAGATAGTAGATGCTTAAACATAGACACTCTGCTCACTAGGATATTAGTATGCTCTAAGTAACACAAATTAATATTTCTATGATCATTTTCGTAACTGGCCTTTCTTTTCTGCCTGCTACCTTTGCTAGCAAGATGGAAGCGACATCGTGACGGAAGGCCCCAGGTGCAGTCTACGGAGTCGGAAGGTAACTGATGATAAAAAAATAATAATCATACAGCAGTGATACTCTGCTGTAATATTTCCATTCTTTTATAGTGTTATCTGTTCACATTGATTCAAATTCAAGTAAGTCACTTCGGTTTGTATGGATGGATACTGCAACCCCCCATTGCCATGTGCAGTATGCCTGAAATTAGTCGACAGACACACCTTATATCGTGCTAAAAGCTCCGAAATCAAACTGCCAAAAATGCTGCTGCAACTTTTCATCCATTTCGTGATTCGTATTTGGTAAAATGTAATTGCCGGCCCCTTTTTTGCTCTACTCTGACCATCTACAAAACGTGGCACAGGTTTACAGCGATCTGACCGTTGACTACTTGAAGATGTTCCTGCTCAATGTTCCAGCAACTATTGTTGCTCTAGGACTGTGAGTTCATTGACATTCTTTCCTGAAAGAGTTTACTACTTGTACAATATTCATTCAAGTTGGATGAAACTGATTGCAACACAGGCTTCTTCTGTCACTTTAAGCAGGGATACTGACTGAGTTATGCTAATCATAGCTAATATTGACGTTTTAAATTTACATTTAGGTTCTTTTTCATCGATGAGCTGACTGGCTTTGAGGTCAATGTATTCCAGGTTAGTTAGTGTTTACTAATTTGCATACCCTACTCAATGTTGCAATCACATAAACATCCGTGGCCAGATATGTGGCCCATATTTTGTCACATCTTCTTAGTTAATCTGTTCATAGCTTTTTTCTTTTCTAATTGACTTTACATTTTTATGAACAATGAAGTTTCCGGAGCCCTTTGGCTTCATATTCACGTATTTTGCCGCTTTGCCTCTGATATTGGTAACGGCGCAAGTGGTAACCAAGGCCATAATAAATGATGTCTTAATCCTGAAGGTTTGTTATTCTCCCTTTCCCAATGCACACTTTGATGTATATATTGAGGTTGAGAGAAACTCACGGTTTTTCTTGCCGTCTAGGGGCCGTGTCCGAATTGCGGCACTGAAAATCTTTCCTTCTACGGGACGATACTGTCGATCGAGAGTGGTGGAGCAACAAACAATGTGAAGTGCGCAAAGTATGTTCCTTTAACTATCTCGCTCCATATTTCGCAAAAAAAAAAACTATCTCGCTCCATGTTACCCATATCAGAGTTCTGAAGTACTGACATACTTGTTTCTAGCAACTATTAACATTACTGCGATGTTTTCTTTCTTCCCAGTTGCAAAACAGTGATGGTATACGACTCAAAAACTCGGCTGATCACACTTCCAGATTCATGAAGAGGATAATTATAGGTATGTGTCACTGTATCAGTCCTGTGGTAGCATATCTTGTCGCTTCCTGTGATTGACAGGGTGTCACTTTTACTCCCATGCAATTTGTTCTGCATTTCTACAAGGTTCATTATGGGAGAAGAAAACTAGAATATGATTTTTTTTGTTTATATTCAAGCCATATTAGTTATACGTGGTGCAGATATATAGGAACTTATATTGTTACTTTATGCAACTTTGATGTAACAGTGGCACTTCATTAACAGGGAGGAGCAACGAGATGCAGAGTTTGCCATTCATGCTTGGTAATTAAGTGAGCAAATGGAATTGTCAAGTCTGCAACAAACTGCTAGCTGCTTCTGTGTTGTAGTATGATTTTCTGTAGATATCTACTTGCAATTGTACCAGATTGGCACGAATGAAGCTGCACAATGTATAGAAGACCAAGATGGTTGTGAGCCTATGACATTAAACCGATCGATGCATATATGTACTCCTTGCCAATCGTCATGCGCCATGATAAAAAGGAAAAAGAGAAATAAGTGATTGCAAGGCCCAGTACATTGGCCACTGGACCATGGGACCATGGGTTGTGACCCACTGCGCAAGTGACGATGTTTCCTCTATTTTTAGGCCCATTGTGCAAGTGATAGCTTTAGGCTCGCCATTCGTGCCTCCCGCGATGAAACTCTGCACTTGTTTTCACTGGTCGCATGGGTCCTCACCCTTGTATACAAAAGAACGAAACACCTCATGCGCATCTAAAAAAGTAAACCATAGTTTTTTCTAAAACAAGCATTTCCTCACATAAATCTCACCTCCATCTTCACAAGAAAAACAAAACCTTTCTAAAAAACCCCACCTCCATCTAAAAAGACATTTTCTCACCTCAGCCAACCAGCGGCCGTCACTTGTCATAGCTGGTTGCTCTCCCAGCAACTCCCCCTTAATGGGTTTAATATCTACCTTCTTCTAAAAAAACTACCTTCCACTTTTTGAAATCACATTTGCAAGAACTGGAAGGTGTCCCAATATGAGAATCGAACAAGAAAGCTAACTGAAGTGGCTAATTACTTGGTTTGCGACTTGATTTTCAGGGCGAAAACTCATGAACTGGCTTCGGTGGTTGGATCAGGGCAACAACGACGCTTGCACATCGTGCCCTTTCTGACAGTGTTGTTGTCGGAGAACCTTACTAGTAGTCATTGTGTTCTAAAGATATATGATTGGTGTCAATGGACATTGCTATAGTTCATTGTTTGTTGTTTTGATCGCTTCCGTTTTTTTCTCTTTTCGATTTTATGTCTAGGCATAGCTTTGGTCTTGTATGACTTTGCTCTTTGCCGGCGTGACCCTTTTGTGTGTGTGTGTGTGTGAGAGAGAGAGAGAGAGAGAGAGAGAGAGAGAGTTGGTTGTGTGTCTTACTTATGTAGATGTCAGGTGTGTACTTATTGTGTTTGTAACCAGTTGATGTTTTATTATGAGTCAGTAAGAAATGCCCTTTATCGAATTTTTGTTTACTTGGTTTGCTAATTATGAAGTATAAAGTAGACATACGGTCAAAATAGATTATTGAGCCTCTTGTAATATTTAAGACCTGTTTTGACTCGAAAAGGATGAATTTCTACGCTAATGCTTTGATGAAAATCTCCTCAGAAACACCTTATATGCTCTAGATTTTTCTTCTTCTATTTTTTGTTAATTTAATCATTAACTAAACAAAATTATGAAGACATTTCTAATACCATACATTGTGGATACTACTACACAGATATTTAAGGGTACACACACAAACACTATATTCATGCAAATATCACAAAGTAATCTAGAAAACATGTGATCTTATCTTTCTTCTTTTCTAGCATTTAAGAGGATCTACTTAATTTTTTGAGGTAAAAATACATTGAACAAAAACCTAATGTACACTTGACATGTTTAGGCTTTGAAACAATATATGAACTAAGATTGCAATTTGAAACAAAAGAACTTATAAAAGGTAAATACAAAGTTAGTATAAATAATGATATTTATTTAAGCTCGTACCATGGCACAACAATTGTTTATATTGGTCCTCGGGTTTACCCACTGGGTACTGGGTTGGCTGTTAGGGCAGAGGTGGATGTAGAAAGGTATCCGCCACATCCTAAAAAACTAGCCCATTATTAGTATCTGTAATAGAAATACATTTAGACCAAGAAGGTTAGGGTTGTATGACCTAAGGCTATATGCACCCAATTAATACCTAACCGATCGATCCCACGACTACTAGCGTAACGTAACCCGACGCAGGAATCTCAATCGCATTGGTTGTAGCCCTAGCGCTGGCAGCGCGATAGTGGCAGGACGACGTTGCATCACGGCAACAGGACAGGACCGACGTCTAGTAGCGGTAGGCCGACGGCCACGGCCAACATGTAGATAGGAAACAAAATTGTGTACGTGTGTAGCAGAGTAGGGACTATACACCAATTAAAGTTAAATCTACTAATTAAGGATATTTCTCTTTCTAGACAGGTGCTAACTTTTTGTCGTTTCTCCTTTTCAATCATTATTACTAATCATTGTCAGGAGCACTTCCACTTCATCCTTTAGGGATGGTGCTAGTTCATTGCTACTTTCTATTTTTCAATCCTCGTAATTTTGATTAGCTTTTTTTGCATTGTAAATTGCAACATAAACAAATCAACTTGATAGTGATCAACCAATATATAAATTGATTCAATACAACTGAATAATTGGTGAATTGGTTTTTTAAATTTTGCATTGTAGAATTGTAGAGGATTCCACCTTCATGTACGGATGCTACGGAAGAGCAAAATTTAGCTTCACTTGAAATTTCTTCTCCACCACCGTCCCCACTGCCCCCACCAGCACCCTCACTAGTTTATGACATCAACCGATTTCCACATGATCCAGGAGAAAGGCTACCTATAGAAAGCTATAATGTGAAAGATCTATATGCAGTTCGAAAAGCATATATTCTTAAAGGTGCGTGTCGACCATATGCACATGAGTTAAGATTGGAGGTAAATATTGACATTTGAGCATTCTTTGGTTTGAGAGGTATAAATGGCTTGAATATAGTATCAAGGAAGAGGCTGTCTTTTGCTTTGTATGCTACCTATTCAAAGAAAACAAAGTAGGGGCAAGGGAACCGGTGTATTTCTTGATGGCAGCTGGAAAAATTGGAATAGGGCCAATGATGCTCTTCAGAAACATGTGGGTGATATAACAACCGTGTATAATAAAGCTCTGGAGATATACAACTTATTTTTTAATCCCAAGGCAATAGTTGATGATCTTATTGTGAAGGTAAACTATGAGGAATTATGTCTTTACAAGCTCATGTTGCTTCATTCATTTCGACGCTTGATCTCCTTTGGGACAAGGATTGGCATTCTGCCGGCATGATGAAATGGAGTATTCTCACTATAAAGGTATTTTTCTCGAGCTTCTGGAATGGCTTGCAACGAACAACGAAGAAGTGCATAAGATGGTTTAAAAAATGCTCTAGGTAATTGCAGCTTAACTTGTCATGAGATACAAAAGCAAATTATTCAGTATTGTGCCATATACACTAGAAAGCAGATTATTGATGAACTCGGTGATGAAAGCTATGCAATTTTAATTCATGGGCGTAGTGATGTATCAACAAGGAACAACTAGCTATTTGCTTATGTTATGTTGAGTTGTTCATATAGGTAATACCACGTCTCTGTCACTTTGGGATGCAATCCATAGGTTTACTTAGTCATCACCATTTAACTCTAACTCAAATTCGTGGGCAAGCTTATGATGGGGGCTAATAATATGAAAGAGAAACCTTCTGCTTATTATATTGACTAGATGACCCGCTGCGCCAATTGGCGCAGATACCAACTGCCATCTGGAAGTTAAGTGAGCCATCTAGAGGATTGTTTTCCGTCAACTGTTTGCAAATGATTATGTTCACATTGAGTGTGTATTTGCCTTGTTGATGATCATTACCCATAACTTTCGTTGGCGGCACATAAGTTGTTTGCTTGGGCTGAGATTTTCTTATGCACCGGCCTTTCCTCGTCACGTAGCTCCGACGGAGAAACAACAACCTAGAAATTAGGTTAGCCATTTGACAAATGCCTCTAGTGAATTCAGTGCAAGTGATTATATTCCTAGTGCATTTGTAGTTGCCTCACCAATGACAAGCAACGAGGATCCTTTCTCGGGTACTTTGTTGTCCGGCCAGGGTAACCCAACGACTGGATCATACAAAGCCCAACCGAACCCCCATGGCAAATTACCTGAACCATCGGAACTGTGCACCCCCATCTGAAACCTCACGAGCAGAAAGAAGCCACGCGAACTGACCAGAAGATTCACATGTTAGGGTAGTGCATGCTCAGCGAGAATGCGCAGCCGCTTACGCCAACGGCAAGGACTCAACATCCAAAGGATGGGCAAAGATTCCAAAACACGCCATCGCCTAGGCGAGGCAACCATGGGCATACATGCGAGAACATGCCATCTGGCCAGCCCGAACAATGCAAAGGATGTTATCGATCTTTCCATCTAGCAGACATGTCGCTCTATGCCTCTCACACGCGCGTGTGCACTCTCTCTCTCTCTCTCTCTCTCTCTCCCTCTCTCTCTCTCTCCCTCCCTCCCTCTCTCTCTCTCTCCCTCTATGTGTGTAAACTATTTATCGAGTCACTTAAATTCCAGCGAACCACAACACAACATGGTGTAGATGACCCGTTGCACCATTGGCGTAGAGACCATATGCGGACCAGAAGTTAAGCGAACTATTTGAAACATATGATGGAGGTTATGTGAATTATTTGAAGAGATCAATTGCAACCACTGGCGCAAAGACCAACTACAACCAAAAAGAGAAGCAACTAATACAACAAAACTATTTGAAGGCTATTATTGTGAATAGTCAGCAAGTGATTATGTTTGTATTGCTTGTTTTTTTCATGATACTTTGTTTTCTGTGATCTGACTGCAACCTAATAAATAGAAACTACGGGCAGCGCTATATCTCGGTTGCAGCGAGTGTGACTACCACCTTGCCTCAAACATAATGTTTAGAGGGCCCGTGCATTAGTAACACTATATTTTTGTTAGTTCATTAGCTTTTCTCCTTACTTTTATTTATATTTAAAAATGGAAAATATTACACCAATTTTTAAAAGCATTCATCGTGCATTTAGACAATGTGCATGCGGTATAAAAAAAAGTCTATTCGCATAATTTTCAAAAACTGTTCACACCATTGGAAAAATGTTCATGATATTAAAAAAATTCACGCATTTCTGAAAAATGTTTGTCAAATTTTCTGAAACTGTTTATACAATATAAATTGTTTTTGCATAATTTTATAAAACTATTTCATACCATTCCAAAGCATATTTGTGAGATTTAAAAAACTAATGCATTTTAAAAATATATTCGTGACATTTAAAAAATATATTTATACAATGTAAAAAATATTCTATTAATTCAGAAAAATGTTTCATACTATTCAGAAAAATGTTCGTAACATTAAAATATATTCTAACTTAATTTTTTTGCAAGTGTATAAAAAACACATGACTTTTCTGAATAATATTTAATGTGTGTGAAAAAAAATATTCACGATGTATTCGAAAGAGCTTTGGGGGAAGGGGGGGGGGTGAGGAAGGCGGTTAATTAGGAGAAGGAAATTAATTAGGTCTATTAAAACAGGACAGCTCAGCAGGTCCGTGAAGTCCGTGAGCCGGGAGTCCGTACGTGTACCATTTTTGTATTCGAAATATGATCAATGTGCATTTGACAAATGCTCGACTTGTATTTCGGAAAAATGTTCAGTGTGCACTTGGAAAATGTTGAGCGTGTACCTGACAAAAGTTCAACTTGTATAAGAAAAATGTTCAACGTGTATTTAAAAGAAGTCTGCATGTAACGGAAAACTGAAGGAGATATAAAAAAAGTAAAAGAAGAAAAACATTAAAAAAAAGACCGATGAAAGCCAATACAAAAACACACATAGCAAAGAAAGAAGAAGAAAATGCACGGAAGCCTTGGAACCCATACGACACATTTAAATATTCAGTATCCATTTTCCTTTTATTTTTATTATCAGAATTTTCACAAAATGTTAAAGTATTTCAAAGTTTGTTCAGAATTTTAAATAAATGTTCATTTTTCGGAAATGTTTGCGTTTTCAAAATATATTTGCAGGTTGAAAAATGTTTGCCTTTTAAAAACATGTTTGCAATTTTCAAAATATGTTCGAAAATTTCAATAAAAATAAATTTTGATAAATTTTCACATTTATGAAATAAAGTGTGGAAAAAATCGAATTTCTAAAAAAAGAACTAAAAAATAATAATTTCTTTAAAAATGCTCCTGTTTCCGAAATCATAAAAATTTAGGAAACATGTTCGCAATTTCTAAAAATGTTCTCAATTTTTCTAAAAGTTTTTACAATTGAAAACTATGTTTTTCCATTTCTATGAAACTGAATGGGAAACCTCAGTTGCGACACTAACCCCGAGCCTTTTCAGTAGCAGGCTTATTGTATTCCTTCTTGTTGCGCCTCTGGGCCGTCCACTTGGGAGTGCCTGTGTGCGACCGAGGCACAATTAGACGCAGATAGTGTTCTACAGGAGCTCCAACATAGACCTGGCATGAAAGTACATTCAGTTCAGTGTGCTCGTAAGGCCCATCATGTTCATCTGCAGGTCATGGGGCCTAGATTTTTTTTCTACCTAACCGACATTAAAATTTGAACAATCTTGCACCCAAACACATTTGTGGCCTATTCTGCAATGTCGCCTTTCCATATAGATCACTTTCATCCTATATGAGTTTGCTGAAAAAGAAAACATCAATGTGATCCGCAACATCTCTTGACATCGATATCTGTACTGCGCCACACAAAACCTCTAAGTGGAAATGTTCACATAACACTACTGTGTTGCACAGTACGTGGGCTCTTAGCTAGCTTGCTTTTAGCCTCACATAAACACTTGTAGTTGTCGAATTAAACATTTGGCCACACATGGATGCATGCTGCCATGCTTGTGAATTGCCAAGATCTTGGGACCATTTACAGATAAATAAACATAGAACATGCATGCATGACTACATAATTATGCAATACAATGTTTTCTTTCTTTAGGGAATATAATAGTGATCTAAATGCTCTTATATTTCTTTATGGATGGAGTACTTTTTTTGACGTGAAGATGAACATATATAAATTTAGTCTAAATTAGATGGGGGTTTGGCTGACACGCACCTGATGGAGTGATAGGCTAAGCGCCTAACCGGTGTGATGCACTAGCGCTCAACTGATGGCTGGCTACTCTGAGCGCTCGATCGGATCCAGTCGTGAAGCTGCCGAGCGAGAGATGAATCACAATCTGGAAACAGAAATGACACCTGGTCTCCATTGCTGAGGCTGCTTACGGAGGTCGAGATTTACCGATCAACCGATTGGTCCAAAGGGCAGATCCTATTTGACGCCCGCAGGCGTCGAAAGGACGTCGCTCGGCTGAAGCCTGGCCACCGGACGGGCCAGTTTGGGCCGGCCCATGGTCGCTCTCCTTTCTCTTCTCTTTTCTGTTTCTTTCTTCTCGTTTCCTTATTTTGTTCTCATTGATCTTTCTTTTCTCTTCTTTTTTCTTTGTGTTTGTTTTTCTTGTTTTATACAAAGTTCATCGCATTTTTATACACAAAAATGTTCATCGTATATTTAAGTAAATGTTCATCCTATATTAAGAAAATGTTATACTTATATTTCTTAAATGTTCATTGTGTATTTTAAAATTGTTCAACATGTATTCAAATTTTTTTTTAATTTGATTTAAATATTGTTCATCTTATATCACAAAAATACTCAATGTGTATTTAAATATTTGTTTATCATATATCACAAATATTCAGTGTGTATTTAGAAATTGTTCAGCATATATCGAAAAATGTTCAATGTATATTTTTTTCATCATTTGAAATTTACTTTTTTTGTTCAGGTTTTCAATAATTATTCATGTTTTTAAAATTTTGATTGAATTTCTAAATTTGTTCATGATTTCAAATATTATTCAAAAAAATTATATTTCCAAGAAATGTTGAAAATTTTGAAGAAAGAAACACACATGCCATTGTACATAGTACTTTAACTGATCAGGCGACGCAAATTGGTTCTTTAAGTCGGGCGCTCCTCACGCAACATCTTTCTGGCTAGTTTTTTTCGCACCTGGATTATGTTAGGTCCAAATGGGCTGGCCCGTTCGCGGTTCTGTTCTGCGAAGGCTCAACAGTTTGACGATTGTGGGCGTCATACAGGCGGTCTCGGTGCAAAGCTCAGCGGAATCGATAGGCATATGACAGGCTACAGCAAGGCCAATCGCGGACGATCAAAAGAAAAAATGTATCGGCCAGGCATTCAGGGCCTAAAACATGATACCTGTCTCGACAAATAATAAATAAAAGCCCGAAACAAAGACAAGTATAGCAAAAATGGCCTGTGGAATCCATAATAAATTTGAACTAAATATAAGGAGTGCCGGTTAGTACAAACGTTTAGGTCTGATATATAAGGAGCCTGACTGGATCGTTTTTTTTACCGGTCATTGACCGGGCCGTCCGCCCGGCCATTTTGAGGTGGGTACGAGGCGCCGTGTTGCAGAGGCCCTTAGTTTCCATATATATTATTGACTGGTTTCGCGTCCACATTATCCTTGCTAATTGGCTGGTTGATTTGAACGATTTTCTATACTTAATTGACAGTGTGCATTATTCGATATGCATGCATGGCTAGTGTGGTATGTGTGGATGGAACAAGAAGCAAAGCAAAGATCATACTCATGCATGAGTTTGGATGTAAATTAACTTTCATGTTGGTCGATCTTCGTCCCTGGCTACGTGGAAAGCATCGTGGTGATCAGACACTCAGTATGTTTGGCACTAACTCTTACCGAATTTGGCAAATCTGACCCCTTAAACACCCGCGGACACGTTTCGACACGTCCGCAAACACTAACCGGTCGAGCCTCAAATTTCTCTTCTCACAACCAGACATCTCAGCTAGCATACCTGAAGACCCAAGTCCTTCCAAATTCATGCAACTTAACGATGCATTACACACATTATCCGGCTACTACATCACAATATGCCATCGAACTACCAACATTTGACATGTTTAGCTATGGTGGAGAAGATCATTCACGGTTGCCCCACTACTAGGAAAATGCTTACTAATGGCGCACCAGTTTTGCCTACTAATGGCGCATCACTGGTGCGCCATTAGTATCACGCCACTAGTATTTATTACTAATGGCGCAC